TACTCGTATGACTTAAAGGTTATTCGAAATATTCATAATTATCGTTGTTTTTTGTATTTAGTTTGTTTAAATTATTTTGAACTAGAATTATCCGAATTTTTTAAAATTTATAGCTAATTAAATTGGTTATTTTTATTTAATATATGCACAATAACCAAATTGACCGGAAAGAAAAATGCCTAAACTATATGAATATACCAGATTTTAAATCTAAGTATTTTTTGGATAAAGATTTTAACTATGAAGTACATGGAGATGAAGAAACGCATAGCCAATCCACAACTAATGAAGATAATACCAATTTGATAGAAAAGTATGAAGCAACGACTGATGGAGCATACATGGCGACAATTCGTAATTAACTTGCATATATGATATGGGCTGATCGTATATGCTAGTTGCTTAATATTTTGAAAGTGAATAATTGTAATATATGTTTACTAATAATTCATATTAATAATTTTAATTAGTTTTCAAAGAATTATATTTTTATAATCATTTAAAAAAATTATATTACATAATTTTATCTAATTATACTATTCAACCGCTACAATGCTTTCAGTCAAGTTTATATTTGAATTATTCTCTATTATCCAACCGCCTTCTCTAATCATAATTTCTAACTGTCTTATTTCAAACGACCATATGTTCAATTGTTCAAAAACTTTTAACCGCTCTATTCAAATATTGTCACCAATCAAACGTGGTCACTAATAATGCCAAATATTTGTACTCGCCAGTACACACACAATTAATTCCATTTAAAATATCACTAAACGGTAAAACCTCAGCAGCATAGATGTGCTCTGAATTAGTATATATCCTTAAATTTTATCAACGTTTTATTTATAGACCAGAATTTAATAATGTCAATATAAAAAGGTTTAGGAAAAACCAATTATGGATGTACAATTTGAAGATATCTAAAGTTTTGAATGAAAAACAAAAAAAGAAGAAGATGACGTGCGATGAGTTGATGTTTAGGAAGTAGGAGACTCTTTAGGACTAGAGAAATAAAAGTCAATAACAGCAGAAGAAACTCGTAGTTTAATAGGTGTTTTTTCAAACGAAAATGAATAGTCATTTGACTAATAATTTATTTTGTGGGTGTGTGATGACGTCACATAGAATCCTAATGAAAAGCCCCTTGTCTCATCTCTCTGCACAGAGCCGCTTGAATATCAGCACATCAAACCAAAAAACTTAAATCTTTAGAACATCTTATATTTTTACCATTTTAAAATAAAATTATAGGAGTAATTGTTTACCTTTGGTTTGAAAAAAAAGTTTCTATTCGATATATAAAACTATCGGACAAAAGACTTCCGAATCAAAAGTAAATATCGATTACATGATAGAACATAGACATATACCATCTACATGTGAAAAAAAAAATACCATCTACATTATTTTCTAATAGTGATATTAATCTAGTGGGTTTACATAGAACATATTCCATCTACATTATTTTCTAATCCATCTTTTTTTTTTGTCAACTATTTTCTAATCCATCTACATTCCTAGTTTCTGACGATATTCATATTATTTAAATAATTAGAAAAGTAATATTCTAAATTTTGGGCATATATAAATTTATACATTTACAGAAAAAAATCATTGGGCATATTATCAACTAGCTATGAACTTCCGATATTAAAATTATCCAATACAATAATCCTAATAATAGATTATCAAATAAAAAAGATAATCTAATATTATCAAAAAAGATTTTCCAATACAAGTTTTTTCTGAGAAATTTTGAGAAATACTATTTTTGAAATGTTATTTTTAAAAAATGCCACATTTTCAAAATTTTTGCAAAAATATCACTTTTTTAAAAATTATTTATTCATTATTTGGGTTAATTATGTTGTATTAGGGTATAGTTTTGAGGGTTTGGAGTTTGTTAAGGGTCAAAATATT